TTATGATATATAAAACTTAAATTACATAAAAAGTAATATTATATATATATATATATATATAATTTTTCATAAAAAAATTTCTAAAAATTCCCTAGAAAGTCGTTTATATTTAATATATGATATGATTATAGTTAAACAAAATTATCATATTTTGAATATTATTTTATAATATTTATAAAATATTAAATACTTCTTATATCTTTTACTGAGTATATCATTCATTATTTATTATGGAGTGGAAAAATTAAAAATAGAAGTATAAAAGAGAGGGAAAAAAATCTAAGTAATATAGTAAAAGACAAAATGTACATCAATAATTGTTTTAAAAAATCTAGAATATTAATTAGATTATTTAATTCCGGAACTAAAATCTTAAAAAAAATGTGTTTGGTGATGAAGATATGAAAATAGAATAAAATAACAGTAGGTGTTAATCATATCCTTGTTTAATGCAATCTAGGATAATAAATCAGATAAGATAATTGTATCATTATCTATCATGAGTTAAATGCAAACGATAAATAAAGTAAATAATATCTTCTTTTTTTTTTTTTTTTATCAATATGATATATCTTATGTGAGTATTTGTGTGTTGTTTTGTTTGTTTTGATCTCCTACGGCGACGATTCTAATTACAGTTGAACTTAGCTGACACGTTTTCTCCGTTGATTTCGACACCTTTAAGATTTGGATGCTTTTGCTTCCTTACGCATCACTCTGCTGACCCACAACGCCATAAACCTTCCTCAAACTCAAAAGCTTCTTTTTTGTGCCTCAATTATCATTTTCCTCATCTGGGTCTTAACATTTTGGTGCATTGATTACGCTTTGAAAAATTCAGTTTTTCCTTGTTGATTTTGATCTTCTTCCTTTTGGGAAGAAGATGGGCACAAAGTTGAGTCTTTTGTGGTGTGTTTGGGTTTTTTCGCTGTTGGGGTGTTGTTGGGGCAGGTTTGTGGTGGAGAAGAACAGTTTGAAAGTCACTACTCCCAAATCGTTGAAGGGTGCATATGAGTGTGCAATTGGGAATTTTGGGGTTCCCAAGTATGGAGGAACATTGGTTGGGTCTGTGATGTACCCGAAGGTGAATCAGAAAGGGTGCACAAACTTCAGTGATGTCGGTGTCTCGTTTCAGTCCAAGCCAGGAGGGTTTCCCACCTTTCTTCTTGTTGATCGTGGAGGTGAATTTCTCATTAGTCCATCTAAATTCTTCACCTTGTGAATATCCCAGAAAAGGAAAAGGAAAAAAAAAGTTATTTTTGTTAACTATTTAATGTGGGGTTTGTTTAGTGGTTGCTTGCATTGCATGGGATTTTAATGATGTAAACTTGGAAAAATTATTAGCTAGTTCAGCCTAGCATGTCAATCTATCTCTATATTTCTAATGATATGACATGTATTGAAGTAAAATTAACAACATTTGATATGTTATATGTTATGCAGAAATTAATTAGGGACTATATGATCCACGACCGCCTAATAATATCCTGTAAACTTGTGTTATATTTATAATGGTAGTGTTTTCTTTTGGTTATATGATTATGGTAACTTTGAATATTTTGTGTATTGGACTTGCTTTTCCTTTTCGTTGTCATTAATTATGGCATGACATGGAAAATCGAGGTTACTTAGTGCGTGACATGGAATTGCATTGGGATTAATTAGTGCGTGTCTGGTTCTACAACAAGAAAAAAAAAGGACATGTTTTCTGTTTGGATTCCTATTTTATTTTTAGAGTGTATGGTGACATGCTAATGATATCAATCCATAGGTTGTTAGGAACACACGCACACAAAAATGGTTCGACCCTTTAAATTGTTTTTCTCTGGTCATTTTGGCAGATTGCTTCTTCACTTTGAAGGCATGGAATGCACAGAATGGTGGTGCAGCAGCTATTCTTGTAGCTGATGACAAGGCAGAGACATTGATCACTATGGACATTCCTGAAGAAGGGAAAGATGCAAAAGAAGATTATTTGGAAAAGATTAGTATTCCTTCTGCTCTTATCAGCAAAACCTTGGGGGATAGCATCAAGCAGGCTCTCTCTGATGGGGAGATGGTTAACATAAATCTTGATTGGAGAGAGGCTCTTCCACATCCTGATGATAGAGTTGAGTATGAGTTGTGGACAAATAGCAACGACCAGTGCGGGCCAAAGTGTGACGGTCTAATTAATTTTCAGAAGGACTTTAAAGGGGTAGCTCAGCTACTTGAGAAGAAAGGGTTCACTCAGTTTACCCCACGCTACATAACTTGGTTTTGTCCCGAGGCATTTATCTTGAGCAAACAGTGCAAGTCCCAGTGCATAAACAATGGAAGGTATTGTGCTCCAGATCCCGAGCAAGATTTCAGTAGAGGATATGATGGAAAAGATGTTGTTGTTCAAAACTTGCGCCAAGCTTGCTTCTTTAAAGTGGCAAATGAAACTGGAAAGCCTTGGAAATGGTGGGACTATGTGACTGACTTTTCAATTCGTTGCCCCATGAGAGAGAATAAGTACACAGAAGAATGCTCAGATCAAGTTATTAAATCTCTTGGTAGGTAAAATTTAATATTTCTGGATATATTTTTCAAAAGTCAAATGATAAGAGAAAAATGGAAATGAATAGTTCGGTTATAAAATGACATCTTACATTACCATGAAAAAGCAACATTCCCCCCTTCACTAAAGGAATGAAAATTAGGCAAAGCATGTGATTATCACTTACCTTAGAATCAATAAACAATACCTAGGAACTGCTTTTGAGCTTGTACCAAACATGGGAATGCCATTCCCAGGTACAACATTACAAACCTGTGCTGATAGAAGTATCACTGCCATTATCGCGAACCCAACTAATTAATCATGTTACCTAATCATAGTTTCTTTTTCATTTTTTTATTCTTTTATCATAAACTAAACTATGTTGTCTTTTATTATCTCAAATATTCTTATAAAATGGCTTATCACATCATTTTGATTTCTATTAAGATATATTTTTGACCCCCTACCCCTCTGTTTTCCATTTACTTTACAGATGTTGATCTGAAGAAGATTAAAGACTGTGTTGGAGATCCCCATGCAGATGTTGAAAATCCTGTTCTTAAGGCTGAACAGGCTGCACAGGTTGGTTTTTTAAAATGCAAAGATTTATTATGGTATTCTTGTCGCCATTTTCTTTCATTTAGGCCATTCTGTTGTTTTATGAATTATGACTCATTTTGTTCCAATTTTTTCAGATTGGTAAAGGCTCTCGGGGTGATGTTACCATACTGCCTACTCTAGTTATAAACGACAGACAGTATAGAGGTCTGAGGCAGCTTTTCTAGATATCTAGACTGCTAGTGCTATTGAACCGTAATATATTTTTTAATGTGTTTTTAACTTTTTTTAGGTAAGTTGTCAAGACCTGCTGTTCTCAAGGCAATCTGTGCAGGTTTCCAAGAGACCACTGAACCATCAATTTGCTTAACTCCAGGTCCTTTTCTCATTATCTTTTTACTTTTCTACTTTCCTTCTTCTCCTTTTCTCCAAAAGAAATCATAGGAGACAACAACAATTCTTTTCTGCCACCATAGTTGTTTGCTTTTATGTATAACTGCTTCAAATAATTTGAATTATTTGTTGGCTTCTACTTCTGTAGATCAACAAGTAGTGTCTATTAGGTAGTTCTAAAGTTAGTAATAGAATTTAAAATATCTTCTTTCTCCTATTTTTCATTTTGATGATTCCATTTTTAATTTCTTATGATGGAATAATCTGGATTTTGATCTAAATAAAATCACTGGTGTATTGCCAGCTGACTCATTGAAACTGAATCTTGTTCAGAAGCTGATGATTTTACTGATTATTCTTGCAGAATTGGAAACAAATGAGTGTTTGGAAAACAATGGTGGTTGTTGGAAGGACAAAACTTCAAACATTACTGCATGCAGGGTATTTATTGTTAGGCACATTATCATTAGAATTTTTTTTTTTTTTTTTTTTACTTCATATGGAATCTGCTTCTTCTGGTTTTAACTTTTTAACTATCTAACATGTTTTTCTAATTATAGGACACTTTCCGAGGAAGAGTATGCGAATGCCCTATTGTGCAAAATGTAAAGTTTTTTGGAGATGGATATACCCACTGTGAAGGTAAGTTAGTTTTTTGAATTCAGATAAATTGGTTTTGTTCTCCACTCTGCATATTTTAAAATCCATTTTTGCGAGAAATAGTTCAAACAGAAAATATGTAGTTTTCCAAGACTAATGAACCCTTCAATTTAACTTACAAACAGAACACACATCATCATCATCAATAATCATCCCACCAAATTGATGTTTGAGCCTTATATTTGTACCTCCTTTTCTTGTCCTTGTAGTTTATGTGTCAGGGAGATTAGGAAGCTTCTACTTATGTTAATTTCAACCTTTGTGGGTTTCATTTTCATGGAATTTGAATTTCTTAACAGCTTCAGGAACCTTGAGTTGTGACTTCCACAATGGTGGTTGTTGGAAGGGAGAACAAGGTGGCAGGGCTTACTCGGCTTGTCTTGTAAGTTGTCTTGGACTTGGTCATCATTTTGTGCATGTTTTTGGTTGGAAGTGGCATGAGTAAGCATGTTTGGATACAAGCCTAGAAGGACATTTAAGAGCTTCGCTAGTGAAAAATACTCTTCATTTCCAGTAGAGAAGATTTCAAAAGCCCTTCTAGATTATATCCAAACAGGCTTTTAGACTGATATGCTGGATATTAATCACTATTTGTTTCTTAATTGATAATGCAGGATGATTATAGAAAAGGTTGTACATGTCCACCTGGGTTTAGAGGTGATGGAGTCCAGTCATGTGAAGGTACTGCTCTCCTAAATTTGGTATTTGTTCGAGTTTTTCGGTGAATGACAAGCACAAATCAGTGAATTATTTCTCTTAGTGGATTGATGCAGAGTGATTAAATTTGATTTAAGTTCCTACTGTTGTTATTAAAATGATATTAGCCACTCTAGAAATATATTTGGCCTTTCTACATTTCTTCTTCTGATTATGTTGCAGATATTGACGAGTGTGAAGAGAAATCAGCTTGTCAATGCCCAGGTTGCAAATGCAAAAACACCTGGGGAAGTTATGAGTGCAAATGCAGTGGTGGTTTGTTCTACTCACGAGAAAATGACACCTGTTTAGGTGAGGCTTTTTATTTTTTCCTATCTTTTTTCTGTACTATCAAAATTACCTTGCTAAATGGATTGTGTTTTGTATAATCATTTAAAGTAGTAGTTGTCTCCTTGTAACAAACACCACTTTGCAGTTGTCAATTGACAATGCTCCATTGAGCTTTCCTTTTCTATCTGTGAAGTGTTATGTTTTTGTTTGAAAAGCTTGTCAGGTTCATATATGCATTCTAAACCAAAATGGAAAATTCTAGTATGCAGTCCATTATCTTTGCATGTTGCTTCTGAGGTTTTAGATTTTACTTATCTGCATATAATTTACAATGATTTTAACATTTTTATTTTGGCCTTTCTAATTATCTATGTAGATATTCTTTGCATAGCTATTGAGATTTGAAGAAAAACTTATTTATTTTTCACTTTTTTGATATCATTATAAAATGCAGGTGCATATACTTCTTCAGCAGTGAGTGTCTGGATGATTTTCCTCGTATTGGTTGTTGCTGTTTCCGGAGGATATGCATTTTACAAGTACAGAATCCAGGTATTGTTATTGCAAGTTTGATGTTTTGTTAATACAGAATTCAGAATATGAACCAAGTTTTGAGTCTTGTTTATTTGTTGCCAACATTTTTATGGATTGTCATCCTAAAATTATTTGTTAATATTATTATTTTTAAAATAATATTGTGCAGAGATATATGGATTCGGAGATTCGGGCAATTATGGCCCAATACATGCCTTTGGATAATCAACCTGAGGTCTCAAATCAAGTTCATCACAATATCTAAATCAAGACAAGTGATATCAATCAGCATGCTGAGTTCCCCCTTTGTTATTATTTAGCTTTGTAAATTTCCAACCGAAGTCGTCGTGACATTAACGGTTACATAAATTTATGTCCCTTTTCTCCTCTTTCGTTTTCTCGACTTGTACCATATTCTGTTTGACATTATACTTAGCATGGAAGGGTAGGTATAAATTATGATTTAGTATTTTACAATTTTTTTTATATAATTAAATACAAATTTTCTATAGGCTATACTTGGTGCTTGCTTTCTTTTTCATATTATTTCCATAAATATAATCATATTTTATTTTTTGGTGTGATGTGGAGACAATAAAAGTATGACAATTAACTTAGTGCTCTAGGATCGATTCTTGTATATGTTAAAATAATTTAATTAGTAAAAGTCATGTTTAACGTGTGGAAATTAATGCTTAGTTACATGAATTGTGGATAAAAAAAGTATGACAAACTACCTGATTTTTGCATTAGACTGACCTAAATAATCATACTGTTTTAAATATTATTCTAAGAAAGTACAAAATAAAATAATTATTTAAAAAAAAACTAATTCAAACTAGTAATTACTTATTTTATCAGTGCTGAGTATTTATTGAAAAATAAGAAATATAGTCAGATTATAGTCTTTGAAAAATTATATCGAGAATATTAGCAAACAGGCTATATTAAAAAAAATATCCTAATATAATTTAAGGCCATTTCATGAAAACATCCTGGCATAGCAAACGCTAATTTTAGTTTAAAAAATATTAAAGATTAAAAAGCAACTTATATTATTTTAGACGCATATTTCAATTGAAAAGCACTTAAAAAAGAGAGGCTACTTTTAATTACTGTTAGCAATCTGGTTTTATTTAATGAGATAGCATAACATAAATAAACATAACATTGTTCATCGATCTGTCAACAACCTTTTGATTGGAAGATTAAATTTGGAATGAAACATCAGAGGATATGAATTGACCTCGATTTTATTGCATATTATTTTTTACAAACCTAAAAGGCAACTGTTAATAGATAAGAACATTTTCTATTGAAAGCCAAATTAAAAATGCATTATAACTTTAAATTATAATTTTCTTTTTTAAAGAAATACATATATTTTATTTATTTATTTATTTAATTAGTACCTCGGATTAACATTCTATAAAGACAATTGCTATCAATACTAGTCTCGTGTTTTTATTTCTCATAAGCCTGGATGTAAACGAGCTCACTTATGTTAAAAGTCAATCCTCATCGTAGTTAAACAGAGTCTGTCTTCTTCACTTTCAAATTGCTGTTTTTATTGTAACTCTCATGCCTCCTCCTCATCAGTCATCACCTCTCACAGTTTGCAACCGACTTTCTATCATAGTTATTACTGTAATTGTTGGTGGTGTAATTTAGTTCAATTTTTGTCATAATTTTTTTTTAAAAAATTAAGTAGAATTCAATTTGATGCGAATGAATTATAAAATTCGAATCAGATTAAATCAATCTTTGGAATTTGGTTTAGTTTGATTTTTACAATTTTTAAAATTTGTTACTTAAAATTCAACTAAAAAAGTGTAATATTATAGTTTATTTAAGATTATATGTCAAAAATAAAAATATCAAAATATTTTGATCACTTAATAAATTTAACACTAATTTTTATCTTATTTTAATAAAAATATTTTTTTAATACAATTTTAATTATATTAAATATCTTCTCATATAATTTGTCTCTTAAAAAAAGTATTTTTAAATATTATAAATAATTCATAATTTCTCATTCTAAAATTCAGTTTAGTAACTAACAATTTTATAAAATATCTTTTAGATATTATAATGTACATTTAAAAAGAGAAATACCTTTTAATCGCTTATAATTATATACTTTTTAATAGTTTATAATTTTATAAAACACATTCATGATACTATTATAAAATTTGCATAAACTGGTGGTGTTTATATACACGGATAGTTTTTTAAACAATAAAACTGCAGAAAACACCTTTCCAACTGTATGTGCCAAAAAATAAATTGTGATAGTCTCTATGCTAACTTCAGTTTAAAGTTTCTACACCCATTAAAGATAACAATAAATATATCATTTCTTGATATAATTTTATTAAAATAATTCATTCTCTCAATAAATATATTATTTTTAATTGAATAATTTATAAAAGACACATTAAAAAAAAGAAGCTAATGTTACAATAAAAGAACATCATTCCTTATTTTTTTCCTTATATTTTAAATATCAAAACTGTCATCATTGTAAGACAGTAATAAATCATGTGAGAAAAGATAGATATAAAAATATTATATAACTGCTGAATTTTTGTGTATCACTTATTGTTAAAAAAAAAGGCTACAAAGGCAACTTAAGTGGGAGTGGAATATACATACATCCAGGCTTACGCAACTGTCAGTTTTTAAATTTCACTTTCGTGGGTGAGAAATACAGGGAGCTAGTACCTATTTTAATGTTTTAAAAGTGCAAGTTTAAGACAAAGCTCTAAAGAACACATCTAATTTTTTCTCCAACATTGAATTCCTAACTTGTATATTAGAATCTATAACCTGTCACGGTTACTCTCCCCAAGCCACCGTCTGCAGCTCAAACCAGATTAGGGAGATTAAGGAAATGCTGACAAAGACAGAGAAGGCCCAAAAAGGTTAAAATATATCTAGATTTTAGTAATATTTCACCTCAGAGAGGTTATTCGTATTATATTAGTAATTTTCCAGAAAAACCACAACTAAACATGAAACTACAGGTGAAATTATACCCAGACTCCTCAAGCCCCATTTTTCCAGGTATAAAACCATAATCCTCAGCAGTGTGTCTTTGGTCTTGATGACCCAGCCCGTTAAAAACTACGTAAAAAAATGATCACCAAAATTTACTCTGACCATCTTCAAGCAAATCTCCAGTTTTCTACCTGATCTTCACGCAGATCTTCAATTTTTTACACTGATTGGAAAACAGAAAAATTACATTGACAGTACAATCAAAAGTGCATTTTTTAAGAACAATAGAGCATATGTTGTTGAGAAGGGTAAAAACAGCATTTCTCTTGCTTGTTCACCTGAAGGTTTTTTAGATTAAAATAGTATCTATGAATTTAATAGGCTACTAACCTTTTCATAAAACTAGTTTCCTGATTCAGTTTCCAAGTTTGAGCCCTTTTGTTGATTACGTTCCAGTAATATTCTATAGACATAGAATGACGCCACTGCACCACTGCAGATGTGAAACAAAGTTGTTACGTAACGAAATATTAATCAATATGAAGGATCAATTCATTGAACCAAAGATTGGGAATGGACCAAATGATATTCCATTTCCAACCTACATTTTCAGTTTAATTGAAAGCTCGTGTTAGTTTTCCATTAGTGTCTCTTGCAAGAACCATTATAGGTTTGAAAGCTTCTGGTAGAGGAGCTAAATTTCAACATTACAAATTTCCAATTTAACAAACATTTTTTGGATGATACTCAATGTCATGAGAGACCTCACCATTCATACTATTAATAAAATCCGGTTTTAATCCAACACTCTCTAAGTTTGTGCTAAACATGAAATAGAAGCAAGCTACTGATATTATTAATAAATGCTAGGTTGGAATGACCAAAGACAAAATAGTTTATACAGAAGTTAAATAATGATAAAGATTCAAGAACCTGATCAAGGCAGTGAAATAAGACGATCCCTGAGGAAGAGAAAAGTATAATGAGAAACTATCTAAGTTTGAAACTAATTTTCATTCTATTGGCAGGAAAGTAAAATTAATTTTGATAAATATTCAATGAAAAGAATGCCTTACTTTGCCTAGTGAGCTTATCTCCCGCAGAAACAATATACTTGCTATAGCTGCAAGTCCAACAAGTAATTTAAAATAAGCTTCAAGATACAGAAACAAACAAATACACATAATTGAAGATAAATATACAGCAAGTCTGGAAACCAATACACATAATTAGATTATGAAAAAACGAAGAAAAAAAGTTGACTTTTTTTTAGTATGAGACCACAAGTATCTTCTATGGAACTATGGAAGACAATTTTGTTTGAGCTGAGTAGAACCATTACAGTCAAAACCTATTTCTTTTTTAGTATTTAATGCAACTATATACTAAAGACTCAAAACTCAATATCACGATAAAGTTGAAATAATCCCATGTTAGTTAATCCATGAAATAGGTGGTAAAGTTGATGTTGTCTTAAATATTAAAGATGGATACATAATGTCATCATCTGGAGAAGTGTACAGAATGTTTTGTTTCTTTAATCATAATATATTCGGATAGAATTTGTTAAATATTTAAAATTTAAAATACTGTGAACCAAAAACAAATCAATACAAATAGAATCTCTGGTTCAAATTTTGTGAATAGAAAAAATAGTCATTAGGAGACTATTGCATAATAGTACAATACTATTGTAAACCAAATGAGGATATTTGTGCAAATTTGGTTCAACTTATTTTGAGAAAGTAATCTCTTTTTTTTCAGCTTGTTGAGAAAATTTTAGAAAAATGATCATTCCCAAAATAATATGCTCTCAAAAATGGGCTAATTATCATATTCTTATAACACATTTAGGCTTTGTTTAGAATAGGAGTCAAATAAAGAGGAGAGAAATAAGGATAAGAATAAAAGAGAAATAAAGTGAAAAAGATGTATTTCAATTAACTTATTTTATGTTTAATAGCTTATTATCAAAATAGTAGTAAAAGAGAATTTGAAAGCAAAACAAGTAGTCCATAATATTTAAGCAAACCCATACATGTTTAATTTTGTAATTCTTTGGGATGCTGTGTCTTCTGTTAAATACAAAGCATATGATCTTACCAGCTTGGCCCTTCAAAGCAAGAGGAGAGGAGCGCCCTCTTTTATATGATTTCAGACTTAAAATACTCAAAGTCAGGAGGGCACCACCTAAAATCACCCCAAACCTTATGGCTGAGATGTTGCCTGTTACCATAAAGGCAAGGAAGCCACCAAGAGAAAGCAGCAAACCTGCAAAGAACAGGAATATAACAAAAATATTAAACCAGTTACATGAGATGAGAGGGGAAAAAGGACAATAAGACTTTCCCAAACAGCATAATAACAGTTGTATCGTTATTTAAGGAGATGACATTTATAGGGTCCTTATATTACAGCTAATAAGACAGCCCCTTTACATCATCCCAACATCTAAAAAGATTCCCACAACATCACTCCTCATACGGACTATATGTCTAAACTCTAAACCTTTATTGGAGGATAATGCTCATTAGTAGCAATCATTGTCAGCATGTACATAACTCCTATCAAAGGCTAATCCTTGTCATCTATCAATTCTAATCCTCATTAGCTGCCACCACTTCGAACAAGTCATCTATAATATATGAGCATTGATATTCAGCTCGAATCCTTTGCTATAAAACCTAACAAATTGGAAATCAAGAAATAAGGGTCCTGCTTGACCATTCACCAGTAGAATAATATAAAGCATTATATATTTTAACAGCTTGAAAACTACCATTAATCACTTTTCATATAAAAAACGCTAGTGCTAAACAGGATTTTCCATAATATGAACTATCTCATTTACTCTCGTCAAGTTAAACATAAACTAACTTGAGCCCAGAGTTATTTTTCCTTTGTTGTGCAAGTCCAGCTATGCGAAATGATGAACAATCTTAGAATCTGGGTCAAAATTCTAATTCAATCCCACAAAACTGGCTTTTATGATGAAGATTATCCAACCTTTATAAACACTACTTAAGCCCTATCTCTATTCAATGTGAGATCTCAACCCCTAAGAGCTGACACCTCAAAGCTCTTTCTGGTCAACCCCTTCATAGATATACCTAATTGAGACATTGGCAACCAATTCTGATAGGCCGCAATTAAGGCAACTTTCCAACAAACAACATCTATATCAAGGAATCACGGATCATCACACATTCAAAAGCTCTCAACACACTTCCTACATCATGTAACATAAATTTAACCATCACACAGTGACATACCATACGGCACACCAACATAGAAGTCCCTGACTCCAGACAACTTCTGGATATCATCCGAAGGCGTGGTAAACGTCTCCACAATGTCCTTCACCTCAGGCGAATTCTCAGCAGCGGCGGACAAATACCCTTTCCCTTCTTCAGTGATCTCTTTGGCCGCCACACCCAGCTCGTGCCTGGTCTTATCCGCCAGCACCTTCAACTGCTCCGTGGTGTCCTTGAGAATGACAATGGCCTTCCGAGAGTACAACTCATAGGCCTCCTGAGAAACGCCCTGAAACCTCACCGCCTGTTCCCTCACCGTGTCCAGCACCTGCTTCCACGCCTCCTGCGACTCCTCGGAGCCAGCGTGGAGCTCCTCATCGTGACCCTGAGCCTTCTCCACTTCAATCTCTCCGTGCTCCTACGCAGTTTCCCAATCCAATCACAAATAATCGATTAAAAAACATTGTAACTAACTGGTTTTGGTCTTACTTACCGAGTCTTGGTGCGAAGCTGCGGAAGCGAGGGTGAGCGGTTTCCGGCGGTGGAGGGTGAGGAAGCAGGCGGCGAGGCCGGTGGGGGTGACGGCGTTGAGAGGGCGGGGCTTGAGTAAGGGGTGGAAGTTGAGGGAATGGGGAAAGCGGTTGAATGGGAGAGAGAAATGGGAATGGGAGAGTTTAGGGTTTAAGACCGAAACGGAATCGATGGAGAAAGTCATGGTGATGGAAGAAGAACAAGAGCGAGAGAGAGAGAGAGAGAGAGGCGTAGGTTACGAGAAAGGAAGGTGGAGGAAGCGAAGTGGAAGAGAATTATATAGTAGAGTGAAGAATGGAAATGGAGGAGAGGTGTTTGTGAAAAGTCGTAAACCAGCCACAACACAACACAAGACGCGAGTGGGTTGGTTCGGTTGCTGCGAGAATGAGAAATTCGTCCTCAGACGCTGACACTGACACCTCCCTATGCCTATATTCAAGTTTTCATCGCTACCTTCTCTTGCCTCTTGGGCCCCGAATCTCCCAACTCCAAGCAAATGCTATGCTCCTTTCTCACTTCCTTTTCTTCTCTTCTTAACTTCCCTCACCCTTTTTTCATATTTGTTTTTTTTATTATATTATTATAATTGTGAAATCTTATTCAATTTTATTAATTTATTAATAATTAATTTATGTTTAAGAATTTGATTAATCTTTTTAGTAAAAAATTCTTTTTAATTACATTTTTATTATCTAAAAGCTTAAATATGAGACTTTACTGATGTGCAGAGTTTAATTTGACTCAAACAAAGCATGTTGATTGAAGTACATTATTTAATCTAACTTTTTTAAACATTTTTTTATAATTGGTCAGAATATACTGTTTTTATCCACAATGAATATAATTTTAATATTTGAAAAATATTTTAAAATAAATTATGTTCTCACTTTTAATGTATTATTGAAAAAATTCATAATTTGTCTTATATAAATTGTTTAATCACCATAATAAAAAATAATGTATATTTATTAAAAGGGTAAGTTGTTTTTAGTAAAATTGTATAAAAGAATATATATATATA